ACTATGTTACAAATTAGTTGCTTTAGGTCGTGAACATGCATCTTTACAGCCATATCTAAATCATATTTGTGAACCATATTATGTTGTTGCAATCAAAATAAAATTAAGGATTACTATTAATAAAGTATACAATCACCATTAAGGCCTACTCATCTTCACCTGTATAATAGTGTTGTGCCAAACAAAACAGCTTCTAGCTAACATAAATAAAAATTTAGTTGCATATTTCACCACTGCAAATAAGCAGCAGGCCATTACTCTGTGTCTACAGTTGGTTACACACTAATCCTGTAACAATGAATAGTAGTAATAGCTTTTTGTATTCTCATATGTATCTATATCAGATAGGTCATGTTATAGTCACAAAAGAAAGAATTAAGCAATCATATTTTATTGCATTAACACATTATTTCTCTCACACCTGCAAACATGGTGATTTTGGCTTGGATTTGTTTGTTTGTTTCTCCTTAAGGTTTTGTGTTTTTGTATCTAGGTTGACTTATTATATATTTTCAATTTTTTTCTGAAACTTAATGACATAAAAAGATAACTTTGAAGTCAAGATAGAACTAGGCTTTCATTCCTAAGCAGTAAGCTTCTCCTTCTGATTACTTTCCCCTCACAGTTATTGGTATCACTTTGCTTAGAGCTTCTTAGTGTCAGAAGTACATTGGACTCTATTTTCTCCTTTCTTTTTCATATTCAGTTTTCATCAAATACAACTATGGAAGACACTCCAATGCACTAATGATATATCGTTTCAGGAATGAGGCACTTACTCCTATAGCTACTGGAAATAATGCTGGAAGATAACCATCAGGTCAGCCCTCTTGAAAAAATAGGGCTTATTTTTTCATGCAGCACCTTACTTGAAAAAATAAAATAAAAGCTTCACTCAAAGTCAAACCTCCTTCCACATGTAGCCCACTTTCAACGACTGATCAACAGAGTACTGTGAAGGCTTAATCTCTTTCTGCTGACTAGGGACAACTCTGAAGGGCCATCCCAGCTTCAGGGGCCTTAATGAGTTGTCTGAAGCCTTCAGTGGGCCTTTGCCAAAGCTCTTTCTCTACCCCTGCTGAATATACTTTATCTTTTTTGTTCCGGAAGTGTTGCTCATAACACTTTCTCTAATAAATGTCCTGCTTTCTAACCTCCTATCTCAGAATCTGTTCTCCTGGGAACTCAACCTGCTACAGAATCATTTTCCCTCTTTATTTATCTTGAAGCTGTCCCTCTGTTTCTTAATTCATTATCATTGTCTAGTTTCTTCTGCCCTAACTCTGATTTAGAATGGCCCATCTTCACTTTTTGTTCCATGGTCAAATAGGCATTTGAAGCAAACCTACACACAGGCACACTTGGAATGTGATTGTAGATCACTGCAGGCTGCTTTGAAAAATTCCAAATCCACCCAGTTCCCAGAATTTCTTTCTACCAACAAACATACCAAATATAATACTGGTATAACAGTGCCCCCACAAAAATCCTCCCTGCAGAGAGTTCCTATACATACCAGTCATTTCCTACAACTCTTTGTCTGTGGGCACTCACTGTACAGATCTCTGACCTAAGAGAAAATTTTGATCTATTATAAATAAGGCTTAATGGATAATACTCCAACTCCCTTGTGCTTCAATATGACAATTCTTTCTGAAGGTCCCCAGTGAGATCCCTGTTTTCAGCAGTAATCTGAAAGCTAGCTTGCTTACTTATCGGCTTTCTCCCTCCAGCATCTCACTTCCCCATTTACTTAGTGTGCTTTCCAGGATCAGCTCTCAGATTAACTACTTGCAATTAAACTCTTGACCTAGGGTTTTCTCTTGGGAGTCGGTACACAGAACTGATTACCTTGGATATTGCCAAAGACCCCTAAATGATCTCCCAGATCTTAGTGGCCTATCACACCCCTCCTGTCTGTTTTATATATTACCTCCAGAGTTCCCTTTTTTAAACTCAGTTAACTCATGCCCCTTGCTTCCACAGCAATCTTCAATGGTTCCTGGTGCAAAGTAAAATAAAATTCTGCCCTAAAATGTCTACTTGCATTGCTAATTGTATGTCACTCTATATTCCCTACCTCACACACATACTCCAAACATACCCATCTACTTTTTAATTTACAGAAACTGTCCTCTCTGTGTTTTCAATAAGGTTATTTCTCCACTGGAAGGTTCCTCCAACCCCCTGCCATATCCTTCAAGGTTCAGATCAAATCCACCATCCCCGATGAAGCCCTCCTCTCAGACCCCCATTGTTGGGATTATTATTTCCTTTCACCATGCTCCCAGTGCTATGATTAAACTTTAGATGTATCAAAGCATACCTTGATTGAGATGATTTGTCGATACCAATTTCTACCACCAGATGTGAATTTCCAGGAAGCAGGAGCCACATCATATTATTTAGATATAGTAGCAATATTCAAAATAAATAAACAAACCTATATACCAACACTGACCAATCAGAAAGGACACCTGATCTAGGTCCTGAAGCATTCTGATGTTTTATGTGTTAACACTTTAGTTGCTGCTAAATTGCTGGGAGGTTCCAAGGGTTCTGGGTGAGGGGCTGTGGTGTCTAGACTGGCAAGGGTTATTTGATAGTGAAGCTCAAACAACTGAATATTTGCCAACATATAAGAAAAAACCAGCTGTTATAATATTTCAATAAGCAAAGCATAATTAGTTGAGTGTCAGCTTTTTTCATAACTACTATGTTTATTAAGGCTTTCTAAATCATAGGTCTTTAGTAAATAATTATATATAAGAACAGAATTGAAAATGAACACAAAATTTTTAAAAAGTATCTGATGCATACACACATGTGTGTATACATGCATGCACCCATACATGGATACGGTTCTTTAACCAGCAAAAGCAGGCAAATTCGCATATGTTTGAAATTTTTATAATCTAGTTTTCATTATATCACTTCAGATTAGTTAGCAGCTGTTCAGAAGCAATTGTATTTACACTGCTTAATCTGCAGCTTAAATCTATAGTTTAAGTCTTCCAATAGTAATATCAATAAAAATTAGAGCTAGGCTCCCTTTTACAGGCTGTTTTTCCAAATCATAATGGCACAATTAATTTAATTCTAAGGCAGTGCCTTGGAAACAGCTAATGTGATGATGTTTCGTAAATATTTTTCAAAATTATGAAGCCTGTAAAATGGTTTGGATAGCCAGAAACATTAACCTAATTCATCCTCACTTAACATTGTCACCTGAGCTGCCTCAGGTTACATCATCTACCTTCTAAATCCTTTCAAACCAACATGTTAATAGTCCATATCTGAATAGTGAAAATATGTATTGAGATATTGTGGTATCATAAAAGCTGCTAAAACCAACAACAACAGAAAAGATTACACAAAGGAAAGGCCTGCCAAATCTAATTATTTAATTTTTCATAAGTCTATTCCAATAACTTTAAGAGTTTGAGACCAGGGGCTTTGTGGCTGCTATAAACATTCTGAATTCAACAATATTTCACAGTTTATGGTTTCTTACGTCTTTCTTCTCATAAGTAGCAGAACTCACTGCCTTCTATAGAACAGGAAACTGAGATTGACTATGCTTTATCAAAACTAATTACACCGATTCTGAATGACTTGTTGCCTTTTACAAAAGACTAGTTAAAACTCTAAAATTAAGGAATATATACCAACTACTAGTACTGTCATTGACAATTATAATGAAAATGAAAATTTACATTTCTTTTATTTATTTATTTATTTATTTATTTATTTATTTTTTAATTGACATTTCTTTAAATCAATTCGCTTCTTATGGATTACCTAAAAAATGGTAAAACTATGTTAGTTTATGAAAATGCTTGGACTAGAGACATTATAGCTCAAATCTACCTATCAAATGAGGACTTATTAATGGGCTTTGTAAATCCAAACACCTCAAAAACAAGAGGAATATTTCAGAAGATGCTAACAATTTTTGTTGTGTTGGCATTTGAGGTTAAGCACATGAGAAGCAGGGAGTGGGCATGGGCAGCTGTTTCTTCCTACATAAATTCTATTACGGTGGTAATAATTGGATCACTGTGGTTGTCATTCTGAAATTTCCCTTCTTTTTAATAGCATAGGAATCCAGTATACACTGCACTTTCTTCTTTGCAGCAGCTCTCTATCACTTCTATACTAGATATATACCCTTCTCTTAAACAGTTTGTTGAGGTAAGGAGGGATGAGAGGCTACGACATCCAAGGAGCCACTACATATGTAAGTATAGAAAGAATATGTGTATATGCATATGCTTTCTAAACTTCTAAAGCTGTATCCACCTACCTACATTATGATAATTTCCTCAACAGTATCCAACTACCATAGGAAATTTAATTTTCTCCCAAATAGGATGACTTATTCCTTTGATGAATCATAATCCCTCAGTACTAGCTATTACTCCTTTTATCACTTCTTATCCCTCTCCCTTCAAAAAGTAATAGGAACACCTCTAAATCCTATTCCCATGTAAGTAATTTTGTTTAGGGACCATTGGAGAAAACTGCATAAATACATACTTTATTACAGAAAAGGGAAGATAAAGGAAAAAAATCACATATATCAAATCTTTAACTTATTTTTCATATATCAAGGAAGTGCCACATGATGTTTTTATAATACCCAGTCCTGTAAATAAACATTATCTTAAAACATCATTGGGTTGAAATACTGGTATAACTATTTGAAAGTATTTATCACATTTTAAATGTAAACACCCTTAATTAAATATTTCCATTTATAGGAATTTGTTCCACAAATAAGTTTGAATAAATGGCCAAGATAATATAGCACTAAACATAAACTGTGTTCATCAAAGCCCTGATTATTCAGAAAGCTAATGACTGAAATGTAAAACTAAATTTTCTTCTGAATCACTTAATAGAAAGATGAAAAACAAATTGCATTTTTATTTTGTCTCATTATATTTCCATCCTAGTGTAGTAGCAAAATGACTAATATTTTAAAATAAATAGTATACCTTTCATTACACCACGTTTCCAAGGGTGCACATGTAGAAGGTATGGAATGTCTTTACTCGGGTATATGGTAATCTCTGGATTTCCCCACACTATTGGAAGATCTGTAGTCACCTAGAAAAGATAATTCAAAAATAAGAATTACGTAGGATCAACATAAAATATTTTTCTATGCTTTAGTATGTTACATTACATGAAATTACTGCAACAAGTTAAAGCATAGAAAAAAATTGAAATTTAATTTAAATACTCCCCAAATCATTCACTGTTTAACAAAATAGCAAGCCAGAAAAATTCTACCTCCAGTGGAAAAGAAATATAAGAAGAAATCTATTTAAAATTGGAACAAAGGAAATTATTCTTACAAAACAAATAATACTTATATTCTGCTACTACTTATACTAAGATCGGTGATGCTTAGAAAGTCTGAATATCTCTCATCAACCATGCACAATTGTCTTTAGGCAGAAAACAGATGAACCATTTCAATACATTTCTACATCAGTATTAATAAAACAAATAAAAAATATTTAAGCAGCATTTGACCACACCCTGGCTAAATCCAACTTTCAGTTTACTAGGTGCTTATATCTTTCTATTACCCACTGCTCAGGCAAACAATAATCTACTTTGTGTCTCTACATATGAGCCTATTATGAACAATTATTAGAAATGAAATTAAACAGTATGATGTGGACTTCTGTCACTGACTTCTTATTTAGAATACATTTTTGAATTTTTTAATACTTTTTTTCTTTGAGACGGAGTTTTACTCCTGTTGCCCAGGCTGGAGTGCAATGGTGTGATCTCCGCTCACCACAACCTCCACCTCCTGGATTCAAGCAATTCTCCTGCCTCAGCCTTCCAAGTAGCTGTGATTACAGGCATGCACCACCACACCCAGCTAATTTGGTATTTTTAGTAGAGACAGGGTTTCTCTGTATTGGTCAAGCTGGTCTCGAACTCCTGACCTCAAGTGATCCACCCATCTTGGCCTCCCAAAGTGCTGGGATTACAGGCATGAGCCACTGCACCCAGCCAACTTTTTCATACTTCTACTGGATAAGAAATTACATATATTTACGATGTACAACATGATGTTTTGATATATGTACACATTGTGAAATGGCTAAATCAAGCTAATCTAGGCATTATCTTACATAGTTATTTTGGTGGTGAACAAAAAATCTATTCTCTTAGCTCTTTTCAAAAATACAATATGTTGTTATAATTATCATAACAATGTTTACACTAGATATAATAAGTCTCTTGAACTGATTTCTTCTAACTGCAGTTTTGTGGCCTTTGATTCACATCTCTCCAACGACTCCCCTCATCAGCCCCTGATAACCACTATTCTACTCTCCTCTTCTATGAACTGAACTTTTTTAGATTCCACATACAATTGAGATCATGCAGTATTTTCCTTTCTGTGCCTGGCTTATTTCACTCAACATAATGACCTCCAGGTTCATCCATGTCACAAATGACAGGATTTCCTTCTGTTTTAAGACTGAATAGTATTTCTTTGTATATATATATCACATTTTCTTTATCTATTCATTTGTTGATGGACACAGGTTTAGTCCCTATCTTGGCTACTGTGAATAATGCTGCAATGAACATGAAAGTGCAGATATTTCTTTGACATACAGATTTCCATCCTTTTGAATATATACCCAGCGGTGGAATTACAGAATCATATGATAGTTCTATTTTTAATTTCTGGAAGAAACTTCATAATGTTTATCATAATGGCTGTACTAATTTAAACTCTCACCAACAGTTTAAAAGAGTTTTCCTTTACCCACATTCTCACCAACCCTTGTTTTTTAATTCTCTTTTCTAGGAATCTTCAAACATTCCAGTAGTGTAGGGGAAGTCCATATATCACCATAGACTCTGGTAATACAAGTTCCCTTAGAGACAGCTTTAAACAATTTCTTATTTTCTTGGGCATTGGTCATACTTTCCTGTTTCTTTGTGTCCTTTTGCTTCATCTCATAATTTCTTATTGAAAACTACTTTTTATATAAGATAATGTAGCCACTTTGGAAATCATTTCATCACCTCCTAATGGTTAGTTTTTGTTGTTCTTGATCTTGTTTTGTTCTATTATGGTTTAGTGACTTTTCTGAACTAATTCTGTAAAGTTTGTATTCACTGTAGTATGTGCCCACTGAAGCTCTGCTTGGTTGGGTTAGTGATCAGCAAAAATTTGCCACAGGTTTCTATAAATGGTGAAAGAACCAATAAATCTTCTGTCCTTTGACAAGGAATAATTGTGTGTGTATGTGTGTGTGTGTGTGTGTGTATGTGTGTGTGTGTGTGTGTTGTGTATACCTTAAGTACTCTAGTAGTTTAAAATTCTGACTTAGCCTTAATTTTCAGCTCTCACAATTTCTCTTTGTCAGCCAGTGGTAAAAAACTAGGACTCTCAGGGCTTTCACAGGCTTTCACACAATCTTGAACATCCATGTGACCTGCCTGCTCCCCAGGAAAATGCCAGAGATTTTCGAATCCCCTAAGGGCATTTTATATTCCAGATCTTCAAGTTTTTAGCCAATCTCTTATTTGCTGCTCCTGTTATTGCAGCCTCAGGCAATTGCAATGTTAAACAATTGCTGGTAAATAATTTGGACAAATGCTCTAAGGGATAGGGCCTATCCATCAGAGTAAACTCTGAGACAAGTCAAATAATGATAATGCCTTCCTTGTGGGATGCTGCTAGAAAACTTGGAAAAAGATCATTTCTTTTGACTGCAAAGCTGCTGGTTTTCACAGTTACTACAGTTGTAAGACTGAAGAGCTAAGGAGAGAGGCATAGAAGTAATCCAAGTAAAAATGCCACAATACATCCTGCTCTTACCAGAATTCCAAGTTTTTCTTAAATATATACTCCTTAGATTATTTCAAGTCATTAATTTCAAGATCATCAAAAAATTTGATTTTGACAATTTTTTCCAGAGTTTTCATTGCATTTAAAAAATGAATTTACAAAGCTTCTTGTTTCACCTTTGTGGAAGCCCCACATCTCTTGTCTTCTTTATTATATAATTATTTTCCACTACTTTGTTAATTTGATAAAATTCTACAGCATTTTACCTACATCTCATTTATGTTCTCTAATTTTTAGTTTCCTCTATTATGTTAAAGAGGTCTCAACTTTCAGCAATAAAATAAAATGTATATTAAAACGCTTCCTAAAAATACAAAGCATCATAAAAATAGTTACTACACCAATGAAAAACTGAACAATGAAAAGATTTAAAAGAATATACTGAGTCTAGTCTATGGTAACATATTATCAAAGTGGAGTGGTACAGCAAGCAGTTGAAAATAAAGTGCTGAAGCTAACATATACCTCTTGAATAAATGTGTGAATTTGTTATTTGTATTTAGATGACAGCTTGAAGCCAGGAAACTGCCAAGTGGGAGGTCATATAGAATTAAGGATGCTTTTGATGCATGAAACTTGAAATCAGAAGATTAGATGAATAAAAAGACCAGATAAGTAATAATCAAGGCTTGATTATAATAATCCAATGTTAAGGAATTAATGTCAAAGAAATAAGAAATATAGATTAATATAGAAGGTGAATAACATTAAGAAGGGAGGTCAACAGTGTCAAACATTACAGGTTACCTGATGAGTTAATTGAGGTCACAGTAAAGGAAAATCAATGAAATAAAAGGCAACCTGAGGAATGGGGCAAAATATTTGCAAATTACATAGGTGACAAGAGGATAATAGTTAAAATTCATTAGTGTATTTTCATGCTGCTGATAAAGACATACCCAAGAATGGGTAATTTACCAAGAAAAAGATGTTTAACGGACTCACAGTTCTACATGGCTGGAGAGGAATCATTATCATGATGGAAAGCAAAAGACATGTCATATATGGCAGGAAGCAAGACAGGACATGTGCAGGGGAACTTCCCTTTATAAAACCATCAGATCTCATGAGACTTATTCATTATCATGAGATCACCATGGGAAAAACCCGTCCATATGATTCAATTATTTCCCACTGGGTCCCACCCAAACACATGGGAATTATGGGAGCTACAATCCAAGATGAGATTTGAATGGGGACACAAGCAAACCATATCATAAAATACAAGGAAAGCACAACTCAACAGAAAAAAACACAAACAAACAAAAAAACATATATTAAAATCCAGATATCCCAAGAAAAAAAGGGGAAAGGACTAGGTTTTGATTTTGAAGGTAAGAGATAGCAGTAAATAATTTGAGCTAGACATTAAAAGATAAGAGTTTCATTTAAAATATTACTTCCATTTGCATTCTAGAAAGACGGAAGAAGAAAACCAAGGCACATATTAATCAAGGTTACACAAAAAGCAAAGAGTAAACCCAGAGAACTTACAAACTTTTGTAGTCCCCTCTAAAACTGAATTCAGGCATTTACAATGTGTAGATATTTGAAGTTTCTTTTGAGCATCCTATTGAGTAAATAATTATTTGTAGATAAATGTAGGAGTGAGTGGAAAATGATATTTAAAGATTGGTTTAAACAAACCAAGTGAAGAAGGCAGAGTAAAATGCTTCACAAAAAATAAGGATATAGGCCAGGCACAGTGGCTCACGACTGTAATCCCAGCATTTTGGGAGGCCAAGGTGGGTGGATGACTTGAGGCCAGGGGTTTGATACCAGCCTGGCCAACATGGTGAAGCCCCATCTATCTCTACAAAAAAATATAAAAAGTAGCTGGTCATGGTGGCACATGCCTGTAATCACAGCTACTTGGGAGGCTAACACATAAGAATCACTTGAACCCAGAAGATGGAGGGTTGCAGCGAGCTGAGATCACACCACTGCCCTCCAAACTGAGCAACAGACAAATAAAAAAATAAAATAAAAAATAAATAAGTAAAAGGATGTAAACAATTATTTATTCCTTAATATTTCCACTATTATTCACCCTGGTAAATGATAGGTTACACTTCTGAAATTTTCTTGTGCCTACAGATTTCACATTAAAATTTTAAAAGATGTTTCTAAATATTTTTGAAAACACCTTTTACTATCATGTACAATTTTTTCAATGAGAAGTACATGACTCAAATAAGTAGATTTTAATGTGCTTCATTTATTTCATCCTAATTCAACTTCATAATTGAAATTATACTTAAAAGCTGTTGGACCAATAATAGGTAGGACTGTAAACATCTTATGTGACATTTCTTCTCTGATTAAGTAAAATTAAATGTTTAAAAAATTGTTTGCAATTATATTTCATGTAATCCACTACATTCAGAAGACAACACTTTCACACTACAAATAAATTTTTACCTTAAATGTCAGGGCAGTAGTTGCAAAATTAGGCAATATTATAGGTCTTTCTGTCTCATTGCCTACTTGACATTCCACAGTGATGTTGTCCAAGGCCACAGGGTTTTTTCCAACCCCTTTTATGTCAAAGATGTGCTCCATACCATCTACTTCATTTTGTAGAATAAGTTTACCCTACAAGAAACCATACAAATTTCAGGTCTAAAGGAGTCACAGTTAAATGTTAACTTCTGTTATCTTATTAATCTTGCATCTGGTTAATAAAATAAGTTTGTAGAGGGGTATTAACCATTGACTTTTTCAACACACAAATACATGCTTCTACTGAACACATAAAGACAAATTTCTGGTGAAAAGTCATTTATTTCTCATTACCCTCTCTAAATTACAGAGTATATATAGGCATTCTCATACACAGCAATTATATGCATGTCTACTTCCAGGTAAAAGAAATATCGTGTTAAGAAAGTATTTTCTGATAAACCAATTTCTTTAATGAATAAAAAACAAAGAAATTATCTTGCTTTATTGAGTATATTGTATAAAATGAATTTGAATGCTAGTATTCAAAGATAAAAATATTGTTACTTTTATAATGTTTATGCCTCAAATTAAAACGTGTTAAAGTTTTAAGTAAAAATAGTCAAATCCACGGAAAATATTAAGTTTTCTGCTAAAAAGCTGTGTTATCAATTAAAAGACTAATGTCATATATTAGTTTATTAACTAATGATAGTATTAATTAATACTGGGGAAAATGTCAATGAGTTCATACCATTATGACACATTCCATAATAGGTTTGAATGTGAGAGGATATTTCACAGTTTCACCTGATTGAACACGTAAAAAAGAAGGTCCATAAAACCAATCTCCTTCTATAGTAACTTGACATTTCCATCTATTCATCGTTTGATTTTTCTAAAGTATGAAAAAGGTAAAAAAACATCAGAGAGATGACATTGATGAAATTGAATTACATATGAATTCTTGGTAATTTTTATAACATTATATATTGATATATTGTATTTTTAATTGCATTTCTTAAGAATCACCATTGGAAAGTCATTTGTTAAGAATAAATATCAAAAATACATACATAACGCATAATGATAACTACATGTTCTTTCTAGGTCATGTAAGAGCACTGCCTAATAGATCTATCCAAGGATTATTTAATATCTAAAGAAATATCCCTTTGTCTTACTTACTAACTACCATTAAAATGATAAAATGGCCTTAGAGGACATACTTGACTCCTAATTAGAGGTAATAACAGATATTCTAACTGGTAGATTGTTCACGTAGCAGATTATATTTGTCATCAGAACAAAAATTCATGCTTCAGATTGATTCTTGTCATGCCTTTAATAATTAGACAAACAAATAAACCAGAAAAGTCAATTTATCCCTCTAAAAATCCAAAGTTCTTTACAATTATCTTACCTTCTTTTATACTATATTGTCACTTTGACTAAAAGCAGCCAAGCTACAGCCAATTATTGCTGTCAGTGCCTATGAACCCATCTTAACCAAGTGTTAGATCACAATAGAATTTAGAGTAGAGTGATCTGAGAGTCCACAGCTCTGCTTGTTGAAGTAAGAAGCAATTTAACCATACATTAAGGACATTGGAGTTAATTGCTTTTAGCAAAGAGATCCAGCAGAAGTGATTAATGAGATGGGTCTCATAATAACATTGAAATTTTGGAAGAGATTCTGACATAAATATGAAGAAATAATTGAAAGCAGATAAGACAATCAGAAATTTGTAATAATTCGAGATGAGATGAGAGGTCTGGAGGACTTTAATTGACACAGTGGCAATGAGAATAAAGAAAGGTACCAAAAATGTTTATACATACTATTGGAATATTCTGAGTAAGAGCTTTAAATGCTGGTGTTTCAAATTTGAAGCTGGCCTCTGGTTGTTCTTCATTCACAATACCTTCAACATGATAGGCACGCACATCATATCTTGACTGCAATAAAATTTTACAAGGGTAGCGTCCAGGATGGAGAGGAACAAACTTTAAAGGAACTGGAACAGACTGACCCGAATCTATAAAAATAATTTTAAAACAGTTCATTGAAAATCACATAAATCACAAAATTCATCTTGGTAAGCAATACTTAATATTATTGTATTACATTGTACTGCATAACCTAGAATAGGTTTCACTGGATAACACACTACCTCTAAATCTCCAGGGCTTACTATGCAAGCTGATTTATCAATTCGAGTATATATACTGCATAGGTCAGAGAACAGTCTGCTCCTCAAAATCACTCAGGACTCCCTACTGTGTCAGATACCACTATCTTGCAGCTGTACCATAAGGAACATCTCTGCTCTTTAGCTGAGAGGTAAGGAGAAAATGAATGACTAGAATTTTGCTCAAGAACTTTTAAGTTTTCAGCTCAAAATTAATACACATTGCATTTAAGTGGCCAGACCCAGTTTTGTGACTTTATCTAATTGAAAGGGGGATGAGACATAAGGAAATATATGCAATATTAGATAAGCTTTACTGTCTGCCACATTTCAATGACTTAGAGGTGCTCTGTCCCACAGCAATCAAAATAATTTGCAAGTTGGCTAGCAGACAGAAATAATTTTTTCATAGTTAATAACCTAGGGAATCAGAAAGAAGCATGTGTAATTAATACTTCTCAAAACACCTTGTTATAACCTTTATCTCAGGTTAATAGCTAGCTTTATTTCTTATGCTAGGTGGGCTATTTGCATTTTTTCCTTTCAGGCAACACCACTTTTTCTCTGAAAGTCACCATTTTCTTAGTCTCCATAAAGTGAGAAAATAATTATAAAAATTTGGCAACCCTAAAGTAGAATACAGTATAAGTAAAACTTTCATGGATAGTGCCAAAATATTTAGATAATCAATGAACAACAAATGATTTTTTTAAATGTCTGATGCCTAATTTTGTGCAAGGAAGTTCTCTGAAACCAAGAAAACAAATCAATGGACCAGACACAAATTATGACATTAATTGGCTACAATTTTAATTCTCTCACATTGAATACTTCAAATGTGAAAGGTGGCATGCTATTTTCAAATGCAATTAAATTTATATGCCAAGATATGCAAGAACATTAATTAGTCTAAATCCTTTAAAAGAGTTTGTGTGTTATAAATTATACATTATATGATGTTATGTATCTTTTTAATCAAAAATATACAGAACATATTGCATATCTATGTTGCTATATATAATACAGTGTATATAATGTATAACATTACATTTAATAGTACATATTAAAACATGCTGATAATGGATAACATTTGAAATCTGTGTGACATCCAACAAGTCCAAGACTATCAGCTGGTATAAGGAGAAAACAGTTACACTTAAAGGCTGTCAGAACGTTATTTTTACTCTATCCTATTCAAGTATAAACCTAATTTTAGAATACATTTTTTTCTTGGCAAAAAGGACTCCAAACACATTCTATCATCTGTTCTTCATTGATTACTTTTATACTGAGAGAGGTATTTGGTTGTAGCCATCACAATAGAACAAATCAGACAGAAAATTATTTGATGAAACATTGTTTTAATAGAAATAAAGAGAACTTATTTTTTTCTTGAACAGCATGAAATAAAAATATTTAGAATATATAATTTAAATAGAATTCTATTAATTTTATTTTAATGAGAAACTGTTAGGAAAATTTTAAGAATTATACAATATCTATTATTTTCATCAAAGATTAAAAAAAACTCTAGCTATTTCATGGTAAACAATCATTGCAGCGCACAAGTTCAAGTATAAAATTTCTGTCAAAAGCTTTATGTTACACATTACTTTTTCCAAAAAAAGTTCATTTCCTAATGATTGCTGAGTCTGAAAGTTAAAGCCAAAGACATTCTTAAGTGTACATTTTCCAACTCATAAAATGTTTATGAGCAAGGACTTAGGGACCACACAATGTCAGCCCCTCTCCCTTACAAATCCCAAAACAAAAACCATTATAATAGTGGAATGTGTGGAAATTATAGTTTTACTTTTGATGATATATTTATATATCAATATCAGTTTCTTTTTAAATACCAAAAATAATTTTATTGAATTGTTTAAGAAACATAAGTAGGGGTTATATATATTATAAATAAGAGATCACTTCTGGGTTAAGATATTTATTTGCCAGTATTTGATTCCCCCTGAGATGTAAACTAGCAGAGGTAGAAACCATTTTGATCTTTAGAAATTTTACTGGACACATTGTGCTACCATATCATAATGGAATTTGTTTTCCTAAATTTATTTCCAATCCCAGACTATAGCAAATGCTGTCTATGTCTTGATGTGTTGTCCCCTTTACATATGCCTTACAAGGCATGGATTTTTGGATAACTATGACTTCCTCCTAGAAATTTCTCTCTAGACACAGTATGGTACTCAATCCTCACACAGATCAGCTGGAAGTGGTAATAAAAGCCTGCAGGAGCAGTACCAAACCAAAAATTGATCAAAATTTGTCAAACAAACAAACAAACAAATGAACAAAAAAAACCTGTTTCCTTGCCCTTTGGTTAGAATAACTCTGAGGTGAATTCGACACCAACTTCCAGAAGTCCCCAGTGGGACTGAGCCCCACTTAACACCCCCAGAATTGGTTTCTTTTTGCATTCTCCTACTCCACTACTTGCTTTGAGATCACCTCTTAAACTACTTGCTCTCAAGACCAGATCTCAGCTTAAAACCTGCCCTAAATCCCAGGATAAAGAGGTTCCTGTCCTGCTCTTTATGCTTACTATGGCTTTACTCTGAGCCTCCTCTGGCATTACCTCTCTACAGGTGTAATGAGTACATGGGCCCAATGGGACAGATCTATATGGATCCCAGTCCTGCCCATGGTTCAAATTCAGGAGACATTATAATTCACAATCCATAGTGCCTTGATCCTATTTACAGTGCTTTCACAAGACTCTTCTCTAGGCCAGTCCTCCTGATAGAAGACTCCTAGAATTGTGCAGTAACTAAGAGGTCACTCTTAGGACAGTATGGAGCAAGAGTAAGTATGTGGGCTGACATATCCACGTTTAAACATTAGAACCATTAGAGTGCATGTTAGAGTTAAAAGAGAGAAGAGAATGGTGTGGGCACCTGACTAGCACCCAGCTACCCTGTGCTGTCATTTTCTACTGCAAAACTTTAAGGCATCAAAACATTCTAAATTCAAACTTAGTCTTCAAATTTCTAATAAAGTTAGATTTGCTAAAATGGAATAATAGAATGTATTCTATTTTGAAATGTGTTCATTTGATTTATATGTTTTTAAAATTTAGATGTATGTTATGTGGACTTCCATTTGTACTTTTTTATTTTTTTTCTCTTTGCATTTTAGTGTGGGATTTTTTTTCTTTTATTTTTTCTTTTTGTATTTATTTTATTTTTCCCATTTGTACTCTTGACTTGGACATAACAAATGTTAGGGACTATCTGGATCCGTCCCTTCCATCCCTACTCAACTCAGATGTAGTTAACCTGTTACCTTTTCTTTACAAGTGTGGCAATTGTCAGGATTCTATACATAAGGCAACCAAATACATGCAAAATACCAAAATTACAATTACTGAAGAAAATAAACACAAAGAAAGAATTTGTAGAAGACTATGTCATTTCATTTAATTTTAATTATTGGAAGAAATCAGTGCTATCTACAGTTTTTCAAATAACCCATGACAAATATACTATGTTTAGATCCTAGAATAGTTCATAGTTGGAACAAAAAATCAATATCACTGTTATGGTCATCCACCACTGCATAACAAACTACCCCAAAACTTAGTGATTGAAAGCAACAACCATTTATTTGCTCATAATTATGTAGCCTCAGCTCATTTGGGACAGCTTGTCATCTCCACATCGGGCACTACCTGGGTATTTTGACCTGTGTATGTCCTGGATATTGACTGTAGTCTTTGGACCTCATCTGGGAATTCTGTCCATGAGCACTCTAATCCTGTATGAGATGAGCCCAATCATTTTTGATAGAGTACAGAAGAATTACCAGCAGCAAAAAAGAGACTAATGTAAAAGAGGCTATCAAATATCTGCTTCTTTCCCATTCCTAAATGATCCATTGTCCAAAGTAAGTCACATGGCCACCACCAGGTCAGTGAGGCAAGTGAGACTATACAAAACCTGTGTCTAGGCAGATATGATCCACTTGGGCTTTTACTTTAATAATCCACAATGTCCTAACTGCAGAGAAAGAGACACGTATAAAACTAGTGACCTAAAAAAGATAAAATCAACTGAGAGTTAGAAACCCTTTTCTTCAGTTTTGGTTCTAATTCTACATTGTGTGACCTTAAGCAAACAAAGTTTTTTTCAAACTCAACTTTTTCTTTTTTTCTTTTTCCTTTCACTTTTCAACCACAAGTTTATTTTCTAAATTTACTCCATATATTTTTAATATCAGAAAAGGGTTTATTCTCTGCCCCGCCCCCCACTGGAGACAATGTAGTCCCTCCCAGATATTTTTGGCATGTGATTTAAAAAGGAAAACCATCTAAAAATAGTTGTGAAAACTAAGACATAAGCAGTATATTAATATTCTCCCACCTATTTAAGAACATAGATTTTTTTTGAAACAATTTTTAGTTTTATTATTTTTTTAATTTTAGCTTTCATTTTAGACATGGGGGGTACCTGTGTTGAATTTTTATACGGGTATATTGGATGCAGGTAGTGGGTATAGTACCCAATAAGCAGTTTTTTAACCCTCACTCCCCTCCAAACTTCTTAATCTGTTTCAATGAGTGGGATTTGATTAATAGCTTTAAAAAATTATGTTTTCTGGCTTAGATGGACTGTGTATGAACAATATTTAAAATCGAATTAACATATTAAACAAAGGAATCTGAAGTTAATCTGGTGGAAGTAGAATGAGGAGCAAGAAATCCCCATTTACTTCCACTTCCTCACTATAGATAAGCCAAAGCACTTCAAAAGTATTTTTGGGCTTCATAGAATATAATTTAGTAAACTAATTTATTAGACTTGTTTCTACCTTAATATGTCATAACTGTA